ATATCAGTGCTTTTGTTTCGCTTGCTGTTTTTCTTTCTGAGAAAATAGGTTGCCGTGCGTCTTATCTGTTGGAGGGATCAGGTGCATCTCCTTCCTTCTTCCTCCACTAACCCCCCCCCCCCCCCCCCTCCTCCCCTCCTCCCCTCCTCCCCCCTCCTCCTCTACTCCGATAGCGACAGCCATCATATGTGCAAGGGGAATTTGATGGTAGGAATGGCAGCTTTAATATCGGAGTGATTGCCTGCTGATAAGGCTAACGGCCGCGGAGAGGCGTGAGCGTCAACCCCTCCTCCGCAATAAACACTTTCATTTTGTTTGGTTGGAGTGACGGATGGAGCGATGGAAGTGGTGAATAGACGACCTGAGGAGCCGGGGGAAGGGTGGAGGGGGGGGGGGGGGATGGAATGGATGTGGATGTTATTCAATATTAACAAATCAATCAGAGGGTGGGGAAATATGCATTTTGTCAACTATATATCGCCATTCAGGCAAAGAGGCGACATTGCGATGACAGAGCCGGGCTCCAGTGCCGTGTTGAAATACAAAATACCTACAGCTTACACTCGGTGATTTGTCTCCTGGCACTGAATATATATTGCTTCTAACAATAACCACCCTGTCTCCTATCAGAGAAATGAATATATTTAAGCTCTGATGACTTCATGATAATCATTTCTCAATGGCTTTTAGAATCCATAATGACGAGAGCACAATCACTTCAGTCTGCAGCATATGGCGGTAAAAAGAAACATTTTAATCAAATTATATCTTGCCACGCGATCATTTGCATTGCGCACATATGCTACGTAGCAATTTAGAGGTCACATGAAATCAAGCTTAAATGTGTGTGTGTGTGTGTGTGTGTTTCATTAGGCTGCGTGTCGAGGAAAGTCAACAACGTTTTGGAGGATTCTTTAGATTGATGATTAAAATGGCCTTTTCGTCCTCTTCTTGCTTCCACTTCAAAGAGTTCTTGACGAGTTTTTGAAGTACCCTCCAGTTCTTCCCGTTCACCCGGCTGAATCTTTTTTTTCTACTTTTCTACTTATTCTCATAAAATTTACATTTAGTGCACTCATATTGTTTAGCCGGCACACTTCCAACTGAAATCCTTCAGCGGTATTTAATGCATTTGTAATCTATGTAGTCTGTATAAGGCAGCACTTCAAGTGAAAGGGTCCACTTTTAAACACCTAATTTGAATGAATCAGTCTTGGTTGATTTAGAAACGGTCGTCGTTATTGGTGATAAAAAGTGTAGCGGATTAAAACACTTTTGTGGCTATCTGGTGCAGCCGAACAAACTCAGGTTATTTTAACAACTAATTTGGGTGATTTCACAGCAGGCCACAGTAGAGTGAACCCCTTTGCTGAGAAGTTGGAGGGAAACTCTTCATCATACAGCCTAAATCTGGCTGCTCCATCTTGTAACATACTCACTTGGAAAGATTAAACATTTGTATTAAAAAGGCCACAAAATGACCATCGTCTTTTTGATAACCAAACCTGATCAACGATAACCTCTGATGACTGCGTCGTGTTTCCTGTGGATGGAGCCCAGTAAAAGCCACCCGGTCTCAGTTGAATGCAAAGATGCAGCAGGAGGAAATGTTCAGGAGTAGTAATATTATAAGAAGGTAGAATACATCTAATGTCAATCTGAGAGTTTGCTGCCACGTTGTTTCCTGTGAAATATTGTGCAGCGCGTTGATGGCGGATTCCGCCCGCTAGATAAATGTTGGCTAATCGGCACCAGGTGATTTGACGACATTTACTAAACAGTAATCACCCACATGAAATGAAGTCGTGTTGAAGATTTCCTGGTTATCAGGCAATTTTCCAATTCATAATCTTCAGTAAAATGATCACATGTTTATGGGATTTCAATTAAAAGCCCATGAAAATACAGCAGATTTAACCACAGATGCCTTTTTGGCCTTTACTGTGCTTTTGTGTCCTGCAGAACATCAGATCACATTACTCAATGTGACTCTGAAACTGAAACGATTAAATCAGCCGCAGGGATCAGATCTCAGTATTAGAAGTCAGGCTAGATCCACTCAGACAATGCCTATTAAAATGCCTGCAAGGGCCTCTTTGAAATGAGTCCTGACATGTCTTTTCCACACTGTCAGGAGTATTCGGTGCCTAATTTGAAGCTTACAAAATTTCTCTTGAGTGTCTGTGAGAAACAGAGAAAGAGGGTGAGCTCCAGTGGGAGGTTAATATACAGGGGGACCAAAAAGAGATGCTGTTCTCCGTACAGTCAGCGACAGAACAAGCTGTCCATTGGCTGAAATCTCCCTGCGGCCAGGATCCATCCAGTTACCAGCTAATGAGCCCTGCAAGTACGTCGTATTTACATTTAAAGTGGCTGCTGTGGGGCCGTCCTCTCCCTCGGGTTGATTGGAGAGTCCTCAGCTTTGATTCGCAAGCAAACACTGACCTTCGGGCTTCTCTGGTTCCACCGCGAGACGGTTAATGTCAGCTTGTCAGTCAAAACCTCATGTGTGTTGATTCCACACTAATCTTTCCTAGTCTGACTCGTGATGTGTTGCGACCCCAGAGGGGTCCTCATTAGGACCAAAAAAAGACCCGCGGTGTGACCTTTTTAGCGGCTTCACCTCGCCCCACCACCTACGCCCCCACCCAGCTGGGCCCCAATTACCTTGCTCATTACCCCCTCTCGTGAAAAAAAAATAGCGGCAGGACTGTGCAGGTACGGTAGCCGTGTGTGAAGTGGCAATATGTCTGACTAAATACCGGGGGTGGCGACTTGGAATGAAGACTTTGCGTCTCTCGGTAAGGGAGAAGACGATTTTCCTCGCGTCACCTCTGGGCTGCTTCGCTAATTTGAATGTGCATGTATATTTGACCTTTCCCTCTCTCTCGCCTCTTCCTTTATCCTCCTTTTTTTTTTTAGTCATCATTCAGAAACCTCTGGCTGACAACTACAATATAAGATGTGCCCTTCCCTGCCATGTCGATGAGATGATACGATGATCAATGATTCTGGAGCCTTAATAACCAGGAAGGGGGGAGAGCGAGAGCGAGAGAGAGATGGATGATTATCCTAAAAGTAGCGTGCTTAATTAGATGGAATGCTGCATACATTGTGGCCAGAGTGGAATCATTGGGATAGATTAAAATACTAATTAAAAAGGCCCTTGCCGAAATTTGGAGTGTGAGGTGGGGTGCAGCTCTTCAGGGTCATTTGCATAGCCTTCATCTGGGGAAATGGGATTTAAAGGACCTGCTCGCTTTCTCTTCCTCTCTTTAACTCTCACTTTTCTTTTTCCTTTTCCTCCATTACCAATCACATTCACATGCTAACAAACTCAATTAAAATTATACTCCATCTTTTTGTCGCACGCTCTAATTTGGCATAATCTATTAAGGCCCCTTTGATGTTGTTTTTCAATATAAATGTCTCCATCAAAGTGAGGAAAAGCACAGGAGGGGAAAAAAAAGTCGGTGAAATGTGTGCTCTTAAGCGACGGATATTTAACATCGCCTCACTTTGGTTTGAGTTGCATGAGAAAATCTTTTGTGAACAAAGCCTTAGAAATTGGATGCCATATTAGATCAATAGATCTGTGGATCAAACTCGGTCGATGTATTAATTACTGCAAGAACAAAGGCGGAAGTTATTGTGTACTGAATCTACAAGCACGTCATCTGCTTATTTCTGGTATTATTTAGCGGCTCAAAGTGTGGGAAGATAACAGTCAATCTGTATTTCTAATGTCTGCCCACCATTTTGGCCCAAACTGAAAGATTTCAACAACTGGATGGATTGTTAGGAAATTCTGTGACATTGACGGAGATTTTATTATACTTTTTTAAAATGTTCTGTTTGCTGGTGAACTTTATTTTTAATTTTTACATTTTTAACTTTAACTTTTATTCCTTTATTTTTAAACTAACCCATAGCATTATATTTTATTTTATTCCTCGTGCACTGTGTCATCCATTGTCGTTCTGCAAATTCCTTGTATGTCTGACACGTTATGGCAATAGATTTCTGATTCATGATCGATGTGGTTTTTTTTTCTTTCTTTCTGTGGAAACATGAGGTTCTGTTTGAAATGTCATCTATTGGATGCACTGCATTGAAAATTGGTTCATACATGAATGTAGGATCAACAATCACAATGTGCACAATGTGCACATACATCTTTTATAGCTCTGCTCTTGAAAGTATTTGTAAAATCTGTAAAGGCAGCGAATGAAAAATCCTCCCTGACACGACCGGGCCGCCGCGCACAATGCATCCGCGTAGTGTCGCACTGGAGACATCGGCGGGTTAAATCCGACAATAAACAATAAATCACACCGTCTCCCGTTAAGCTCGTTGTGTCAACCATAAATCCGGCTTATCCATCAGCATGTTAACATTCCGGCATTAACATGTAGTCGCAAGCGCCGCTGTGCCTGGAGCCGTGTTCACACCACAAGTAACAAAAGCCATAAAACGACCGAGCGTGGACAGCTGCATTATGGGAAGGTGTTGCACCAGCGCTTGTTGAAACAGTCAAGTCATTAAATAGCGCTTGGAGAGAGAGAGAGCAGAAGAAAGTTGAGACCAGCTCAACTTTTCATTTGTAGCGACCGGCGCCCGCGACCAGCATCCATCTCAAATGACTCGTAGCCTGTTGTTGTGCAGCTTGCAGTGCGAAGCGGCAACCGCCGCGGAACCTCGCCTACTTATAGTCCGTCTACCCAAACAACATCATTCCTCCGAGGGCCACAACAGACTCCTGTCAGCTGGAGAACAGATGCTGTCATTCCCTGCAGATTATTCTCTGTGTGTGTGTGTGTGTGTGTGTGGGCCGGTCATTTTCTATGACCAGTTTGACATCTGACTCATACTGCTACATCCACCTCATCATTCTCAGTTTCACTGATCACTTGTTTTGCCTCCGGAACTGTAAAATCTGCTACTCTGTCATCCGGCGCTCACGGCCCCGACGCCTCCTCTGCTTTTGTCTCCCCGTGCAGTCCAGGAGAAGCAGCAGCTGGAGAAGGAGACTGGCCTGAAGATAGTGGAGGCTGGAGTTAGTGATGTAAGTTGCACTCACTAAAAATGTCTGTTCGTCTGCACCGGGTGTAAAACAAAAAAAAAAAAAAGAAAAAAGAGAGAGGCGATGCGCTTGTTATTGTGTGGTGTCCTCTTGGTTTTGGCCACATGGGACAGGAATCACTCGGTGAACCCAAGTTGTCTCGGCATCCAGATCACACCTGCAGCTTCAGCAGCCAAACACTAATCTGCAGGAGCAACGCATTTACAAAGACGCATCCCTTTAATGTGTGTTGCTTTGATTATACCGCCCCCCCTCCTCCATATTCATTTCCCTGAGAGCTGTTGTCACCGTGGTAAATAAAAGACAAAAGCGTGATGCATTTCGTGAAACATAAAGTAAGTGTTGATCATCACAGCAGAGCAACAATAACCAGATTATCCCGAGTGCTGTCACTTTGTCTGGAGCCCCGATGCTCCTGTGACATGTTCATTGGAAAGAATTAAGTGGAGAGCAGGAGGCCACTCAGGATGATCCAGATGAAAGGAGAGTGAATGTGTTTTCATTGAACACTTGATAAATATTCATATGTATCAGCGTTGAGGATCCAATCAAGCACCCATTGATGCGTCTTGGCCCTCAGTGTTCGCCTGGTAAATGAGTTTCTCTATGGAAATGAGGCAGACAGCCTCAGACCCCCGAGCTGCCCTGATCACGAGGCATGCTGGGAGCCAAGTGGATGCGGCCTGTGCGTCGCAGGACAGTTTCCATTGGCAACCACCGTCTCACGCTGTATGGACGAGATCGTTTCCCCGCGTCGGTTCCCTCTGCGCGTTCTCCCTTTGGTTTCTCTGTCTTTCTTTGCCCATCTGCCTCCCACTTATATCTCTTTAAGCCCCACATTCTCTCTCATCTTGTTCCACATTGTGTCTTTCTCACGTTCTTCTCAATTATCTCTTTTTCTCCACTGTGACTTTTGTCCTGTTCTTTGTCTGCGTCGCCTCGCCTCTTTTTCATTCTTTTATTCCCACTCAGGCTGATTCCTGTGCTCCGCCAGAACTGGTACAGGGATGTGTTTGTCATATTGGGCCTATTTGTAGATAATTAGCCACAATAATAGCCCCTCCACAGGAGCCAGGGCGAGGGAGGAAGGGAGGGAGGGAAAGAGGGAGGGAGGAAAGGAAGAATCTTTCTTCCAACTCATGGGGAGAAGATCCACGCCAGATTGTGTTTGTGGAAATTCATGTCAAGGAAGTGCGGCATTTACTGTACTACAAATAGAGAGCCGGCGTGTGTAAACTCTGAAAACATTCAGTGTTTTATTAGCTCGCATGTGGACGTGTGTGATGTCACCAGTTTGGAACCAAGAAGTGTAGATTCGAGGGTAAGTTGGAGGAAAACCGTGGCTTCCGACGAGAGCGCCGGTTGAGTGGGCCCTTAAAATACATCAGTTTAAAAGGTGTTAAACCAAAAGGCTGCTCTCGGTGGATCCGCAGTAAATTGAACACAGTCGTGAGCGAATGCACGTCGGAGGTTGCGGAATGGTTGCTGCTCATTAGTGGCAAAAATAGAGATCTGCCGGATAAAATTGCTGGGTGGATCCATGAGAGGTATATGTTGGGAATTAAGGACGGCGTCAGCGCTAAGCTTTCCACAGACAGTATTCTCTCCACGAGCTCGTGTAAAACCATCAATGTGCTTGGTATCATTAGGTCTCATCACTGACCCCCCCCCCCCCCTCCTCCCTTTTCATTTAAGAGGTGACAAATGACAAAACGGCTTAGGAAGATGTCCAGATAGAGCGAACGTCGATAGCGGTAGATGGGGACGAGGATAAGCAAATGTCAAAGTAGGGGGAAGGAGACATCAATCAATAGGCCCGAGAAATATCTACTCTATTATAGATCGCAGGGAAGTCGGCTTGCTAAGGAGAAATGAAACTACTTTGTTTATCTTAAGTAACGTCTGTACGTGTGGGGGCGTAATCAGGTTTCCCCGAGTCCCATTATCGGTAACAGCCGTCCTCCAAGCGGGAGCTGCTGCCTCGTGGAACCACGAGAGACCGAGGACGGTCCTCTCGCACCAATTTGTGAGTCCTGCAAAGGTGTGAAGAGCTGTGAGAGGGGAAAGGGAAACGAAGTAGAAAGAAATGAGTCTCTTCTGCAGCTTCTGCAGCGACCCACTGGAACCATTTGTGTAAGGTAAACACATATAGTGTGTGTGTGTGTGTGTGTGTGGGGCGGGGAGGGGGGGGTTCGTTAGTCAGAAAAAGACTAAATGTATTTTACGATTCAAGTATGAAATTGCTTTGACTTTGCCAAAATGTCTTGTCAATAGGCTTTATTTTACTCCATGAGGAGACACTTCAACCCCAAAATCAAGGTCTTAATGATCTACTAATAAATGTTCATGTTGACATGAGTCCGCAGAGAATTTCCTCTCGAGGTAAAGTTTTTTAACAGATATAACGTGGCGACTGCCGCTCAACCACTGCTGCGTTCTGTGGGCATCGGTCACACAATGACCAGCATGATTTTTATTGCCTCAGGAGAGCTGGTACCTCCTATCTGTGCAGACACGTAGTCTGCTTTCCTAAATCCGATCCGACACCCTCCACTAAAACGAGAGCGCCATTGTGAGAAGACAGAGAGCGTTGTATATAAAATAGTGAACAATGTTCCATTTTGTTATGACGGCCGTTGCCATTTCAGTCGCTGCGCTCGGCACTCAGACAGAGTGCCCAGAGTAGGTTCCTCACTCGGAGTAGTGTGCCGAACGCTGCTTTCCATCAGCGCTACGGATCTATGAAAGATCCTGAGGTGACTGTTTTATGTACATTGCATTCAATGCCACGTCTTGGCTCTAATGCCCGACGAGCTCAACGTTTTAGGATTCTTATTATTGAGTCATGATGGCTGTTAAGGCATAACTACGAATCAGACAGATTCATGTGAATGGGGTGAAATATCATGCAAAGTTTTAAAAATGAATTGGTACAAAATGTGCGTGAAGCCTTCGAGCTGCACATCTGTAAAGGACCAACGGTGACGTATTCCCGTTACCAAGTCCGATACACTGCGATTTGGATGCACACATTTCCACATCGGACCTGCCGGCGTTAGATGGTCCCGACGTAATTAAACTGGTAGTCAAATTAAGATTCATTGACATCTTTGACAGCGTTTTCATGTTCAAGATGACTCCGGCAAAAAGCTTGTGTGAAGAGGTCCTCATTAAGCATCAAATTCCCCGAGCTGCTTGTCAACTGGTTATTCAACCGCTAAATGTAAATCATATACGGCAGCCGGTGAGTCTCTGCGTCTGTGTACACGCATGTGCAAATGTACAGTAGACCTCCATTTATAGTGTGCGTTACTGACACTTCACTAAACTCTGGTTTTCCAGTTTGATTTCTACACCAGCTAAATAAAAGCATTTCATGATGTTTAAAATTTCCTGTTATACTTCGAATGAAATCACTGCGAGCAGAGGCGCAGAGGCAAAGCTCATCTCAGGGAAAGGTCACTTGCAGTCATGCCCCCTCGCTACGGATTTCAAGGCTTTCTTTCCCGCATGTGCCATAATTAATGCACATCTGTTTGGGAATGTTTCTTTCGAAAACATTACGGCCCAGCAGGTTTTGAGTATTATTGTACGGTAGGAATGTTTACATCTCATTGATTGTTATTCTTTTATAAACTACTTCTACATGTGGAGGTGTTGTTTTTCGTTTAAGACCTGGAGCTTGATTGGTTTTAATGGTTACGGTTCTTCTTCATGAATATGGACATAACTCCTGTATTTTCTTTGTCAGGAGCAAACTTCTACAAATAGTAATGTCAGGCGACGATTTGATTCTGCAAACTGAAATATCAAAATATGCAAAGATAGGCAAACGTTTTGGTACAGATTATTTGGTGAACACTCGGAATCTCTCTCTGTTCATCTCTTTACTTTTACACTTGCCAACTTTTCTTTAAGTGAGAAGTCAGTTCTTTGGATTGTTATCAAACACCGGCATGTCACACAACCTACCCCCGTACACTGTGGGCATATGAGCATGCTGAAGTTGGTATTTAACGTATTTATTTAAGTACAATCAAGCAAATGCAGCCTCACTTTGGTGGCAAACACATGGTGTTGTTTTTCCCTGCCTTTGTCGTAAATGGACATTTAATATAATATACCCTTGGTTGATTGTCTCCCCACTAGATCATCAAATGTCAATTCTGCTAAAATGAAATAGAACACACACAACCAACAACACATTTTAACACTCATCGTTGAACTCAATATGATCCAATAAATTCCGGCTCACGATCACATTACATTTGCATTTTGTTTTGATGCAAAACTTTTTCCCATGAATAATAATTTATACTTTTTTTTTTTTTATTCCGTGCTCTTGTCAGGCAATATCAGTGCATTCTGCTTTCCTTTAATCTAACAACGCCCCGGTATTGTAGCATAAAGCACTTAACAAGAAATACCATGTGCAACCATCAGCAAATGCAATTGCTGCGAGCAAATGGGACAAATCACTTCAGTGGGGACTTCAAAGGAAAACCCCACTGACCATTTCAGCAGAGAGAAGAGACAGATACTGAAATAAATAAATTATTGTGAGTCGTACAAATTGATCCTGTAACGGCATGAATGTATGCTTTACTTCAAAACACGCTTCCCCGTGCTGCCTTCACAAGATGGGGGAAAAAATACATTTTTATGTTAATTTTCCAAGATTATTCTCATTTAAGTGTGAGTTTGGAACATCAGAGGAGACGCTGGTGGCTCGCCCACACTGCAGGGTGCATTTCCCACCCGTCGTCGTGTTTGTATTAGCACGTATACGTGTGTACTGTATGTATGTGTGTGTGTACGTTTCACCAGATCAATTCCACATTGGCCCCCAATTGCCTTTTTTCCCACATTGACAACCTGTCACCCATCTCCTTCAAACACTGTAATAAACCCAAACAATGAAAAAAAAAAAGAAATCGCTGCCTATAAACATTTCATCAGTGCAGGAGGGGCCAATCTGGCCG